ACCCTAAACCCTAAACCAAACCTTTAATTGACTGCTTGGGCTGGTCACCTGGTCTTGATTCAACTAGAAGTTCTGTCTTTTCCGGACTAGTCGTTGCGAATCGTCGTGAAACCTTGCTTTGAGAGCCGAAAACCTGAACCCTCAACCCTGACGCCGCCCCTCTAGAAACCCCTAAACCCTACACCCTAAACCCCGAAACCCTAAAACCCTAAACCCCTAGAAACCCTGGAAGCCTCAAAAGCCTCAACATGGTTTCAACACCGCATCCACCTGAAACCGCAAAGCAGTCGAAACACAGCAATTCTGACATTCAGACCCAGATCTCTCCCTGAAAGGAATCCCAAACCCTAAACCCTTAAAGGATCCTTTAAGATTCACTGAAACCCTACACCTTATCTCGGTTAAGATGCTCTAACACCCTATCTTGGACCCTTGCCGTCGCTCATCGTAACCCTTGTAGCAACCCTGATAGTACCTCCTTTCAGAAACCTTTCGAACACACCCTATTCTAACTATGGAAGTCCGAAGCCCTAAACCCTGAACGAACCTATACGATCCCGTGCGAACCCTACTCTAACCATGGGTCCTAAACCCTAAACCCTAAACGAACCCGAAACGAACCCGTACGAACCCAACACAAACTATGGAAGTCCGAAACCCTAAACCCTGAACGAACCTGAACCTATACGATCCCGTAAGAACCCTACTCTAACGATGGGTCCTAAACCCTAAACCCTAAACGAACCCGAAACGAACCCGTACGAACCCAACACAAACTATGGAAGTCCGAAACCCTAAACCCTGAACGAACCTATACGATCCCGTACGCACCCTACTCTAACTATGGGTCCTAAACCCTAAACCCTAAACGAACCTATGTGAACCCGTACGAACCCTACCCTAACTATGGTCCTAAACCCTAAACCCTAAACGAACCTATACGAACCCTACTAAATATCATACGAACCTATACGAACCCTACTAAATATCATACGAACCTATACGAGCCCTACTAAAAGTCATCGAAGTCCACTTTTGGGTCGTTCCACGCAGGCGCAGCAGCGCAGGTCATCCCTGGTCTCAGGCCTCGTGCCTCCCAGGAGGCCTGCGGAGGAGGACGGTTTCGGGTTTAGGGTGGTTTAGGGTTCAGGGTTTAGTATTTAGGGTTTAGGGGTTTAGGGGTTTAGGGTTTAGGGTTCAGGGTTTGGAAAGCCTGTTGCAAAAGGGTTCAGGGTTTAGGGTTTAGGGTTCAGGGTTTAGGGTTTCAGGTTCAGGGTTTAGGGTTTAGGGGGGTTTAGGGTATAGGGTTTCGGGTTTAGGGTTTAGGGTTTCTGGAACGGGAATTACCGGTCTAGGACTTGGGGCATTTTGGATTTAGGATATAGGGTCTAGGGATTAGGGTTCAGTGGTTTAGGATTTAGGCTTTTTCGGGTTTAGGGTACGTAGTTTTGGACTGTGCTGCAGACGAACCTCTAAGTGTCCCCTGCTTGCTGCGGGCCGCATTTTCAGTTCGCCTTTTTTGTACTGCGTGCTCCAGCCAATCCCTAGACCCTAAACCCTAAACCCTAAACCCTAAACCCTAAACCCTAAACCCCTAAACCCTAAACCCGTCGAACTACTTTCCCTCCCTGTGTTTGACCCCAGCTCCCAACGAGCCGGGCTCGAGCTTGCATGAGGAAGTTCAGCGGCTCCAAGGTGAGGAAAGATTTGGGGGTTTCCGAAAATAGGGGACCCTAAAATAGCACCCTAATTTCGGAAACCCCCATTTGGGTTTAGGGTTTAGGGTTCAGGGGGAGGGGGGAACCAATGCAATTATCTAAGGCGGAGGCCAGCCAAGACGTCATGCTTCTGGTGAACATAGAGCTGTACCTTTGGTGTCAAAGGTACCCTAAACCCTAAACCCTAAACCCTGAACCCTAAACCCTAAACCCTGAACCCTAAACCCTAAACCCTAAACCTGGGATTCTGTGAGCACGAAGGTGTCAAGTCACGAGCCTCCTGTAGAGGCTTCTTGCGGACCCGCGCGTCACCTTCCGACAGTTCTGGCCTGTCGAACACAGAACATGCAAGCTAAGAGCTCTCGTGTGCGTGGATTTATGTGATTCGTCCAGTCTTCGATCTCATCGACTCGGCGTTGAGCTGAGACTGCCGTGGCAAAGGAACCAGATAGTAGCCAGCTCTCCATCCATGTCTTCGTCCCACTTGTTTATAAACTACAAGCATTGTTTGTAGCTTATCGTCTTGATGGACCATCATTTCCCCGATAACAAGATCATAGTAATGATCTCGACGATGGTGACGATGTTGGTGCGGGCTAAAACGGCTACAATTTTTCGAGCGACGAAAAGATGATGGTGATCATGGGTAGTGCCAGTCTTGTGCCACCTTTTTCATGTTTTAGCTGCCTTTAAAGGGCCCAACGTCAGATCCCGTGCGGTTCCCTTCGAAGGAATCTGCTGGCTTGGCGGAGCGGGAGCTTCAGGCGGAGATGGATTTAAAAAAGGGGCATTAAGAAGTTGAGAAGGCTTTTGGGGCCCATTCTACTATAGTTCTAGTAAGGAGCTGCCAACATAGTATTGGTAGTTATTTAGGCGCTTACATTAGGATTTCAGGAGTTCGCATGTTGTTTAGGGCTCAACGGTTGGGAGGTTTAGATTCCCTGCATCTTTGCGTGGGACCGGGATCTGCCTGGGTCTGTCAAAACACTGCAGGATCGCAGCATGCAGTCCGCAGACATGGAGATTGCTCTCTTCTCGTGGACCCCGGCTTGTTTGGACTGCTAGCCACACGAGCTGATGATCTCCACTCCCTGGTTCTCGCTTGCATTTGGTCAAGAGGAGACGAAGCCTGCAAAACAATACAGGCTTGCATTCTAGTATATTCACGACGTGTATCTCTAGTCGCAAGCTGATTGCAGCTAGCAAGGGCAGCAGGTGGAAGCACCCTACAGTGCCAAGTTCTTATGCAGCTCAGCGCAAAGTCCCAAGGGATGGCCCAAGCCCTACAGCCCTGAACTGCGAGGTAGGAGGCTGTGCGAACCGAGGAGAACCTAGGCATGGGTTTTTTGGAGGCAGATGGCCTCGGTTCTGAGCAGCTCTGGATGACAGGTGCCTCCAGGAGAGGACATCCCTTCTCCAGTTCATGGTTGACCTGCTCTCTGCAGCAGCCTTAGCAATGCAGCAAGAGCCTCTGCATAAGGCATATTTGACGTCCCTCAATCCAACAATCTTCTTGAAGCCGTCAGGATGCTGTGCGCACCTGTCGGCTGAGGCCTTGCAGACCCTCTTCTACGACCCCACGCCCTTCACGCGCCTGCGCTTGCGATCTGCATCGCCCCCACCAGGCCGCGATGGTAGCATGGTGATCTCTTGCAGCTTGTTGTGAGACATGTTTTGGGTTGGGGGTTGGGGAACTTGGCCTGCGTTGCACTCTTCCGCTTTGGAACCCCGACCTGCCAGAGCTGCAGCTGAAGCTTCACTCATGAAGCCAGCCGGAGGGCCAGCGAGATTTTTGACTGGAGGGGTTTGTGCAGACCAGGCCGGCACAGAGGTTTGTGATGTTTGAAGTGTTTCTGATGGTGGTGATGGTGATGCGAATGACGATACTCCTAAGGAGCACCAGGAAAATGCCACAAGCTGAAACCCCACAAGCTTTGTCACCTTAGAAAGCCCTAGAACTTTTGACTCGATACTAAACCATCCTAGTCCTAAATCCCAGCCAAAGACCCTGAGACGCAGCCCTGAACCCAGCTGTGCAGCTGAAGCCTCGGAGGTGCGGCAGGGCGGCGGCGGAGCACTTCGCGTGAGCCGACCCACAGGCGGGCAGTGCCTGAAAATTATCCTTTTGCTGATATTCTTGTAAGTACTTAGACTAAACTAGTTCCAAATGGGAGGGTATTTTTCATGAGAAGTGCACTTGTTAGTATCCTTGATCACTAGTATGGCCGTAATTGGCGTTGTTCTCGGTTCTCTGGTGACTACCTACCAGTATGCTGGAGCTTCATGTTGCCGCTGTGGTCATTGGGTATGCCGGTGAAGGCCGTTGAAGACGTTGCATTTAAGGTTGGTGCCTGGCATCAAACCAACCTCCAGCGAGAGTTGTCGCGGAAAACAAGCTAGTTAAATATGAAGCCCGGGCTTGACAGCATGGTTCTCAGTGCAGAATCACAAGTCTTTGAGGCATCTGCACAGTGGCTGCTACGCTTGCGCTTCGCAGTGCGATCTTGCGTCCCTTGGACTGGTAATTTCTACTGTAGGCTTCGCTCCTAGGCATGCTGGAAGTTAGCACCTGGCTAGTTGGTTTCTTTCCTGCCGATCTCGGACATCCTTGCATATCTTGGTTCGACCGCGTGCGAGTTGTGCTTCATTGCGCAGAATGTGCAGCTACCAAGATCATGCTGTGCTGAGGCCTCTGCCGAGTGCTCAGGCAATGAAGGACATCGGCACAACTGCCAAAGCCTCAGCAAGTGTTGTGGAAAGCAGTGCCAGGCACCGTCTCAGCGAGTTCGCCACAGGCAGCATGCCAGGACCTTGAAGCAGCCTTTGCGCTTGCTAAGATCTCCGGCGGCGACGACTTGCGCGAGCTGTGCACAGCGCTCGAAGCGGAGATTGCGCAGGTGGCCTGCGGGCGGTGATTGGGTGACAACGGGGAAGTCTGTGAAGGCCATGGAGGTAAACAGCAGTTGGAGTAAAAGCTTCCCTCTTTGCTGGCAGTTGCTCTTGCCATGGAGTCCTCTATAAGCTTGGCTACACTGCCGGCTCTACACGTACACTTTTCAGACCCCGTAGATTCGAGCTTCGAAGGACCAGCCGTCCCATCGTGTACAAGACAATACCTAATTTCTTCATCGAGTCTACGACGTGCGAAAACCACAGGCCTCTGGACATGTTCGAAAACATGACAAGCTTTCGGCAGTGAGAGGCCTCGCAGGCGTTCTCTGCTCAGGCTGGGCTTCACTTGCGGAAGGGCATGGTCTTTGTGGGATCCAGCCATGACTAGATGTCCCATCTGTAATATCTACGATTATCTACATATAGAGGGCAACCTTTGGGATGGGCTTCTGCTTGTGGGTGAAATTCCGAAGTGGAGGAGTTGCAGACATACCATTTTGCCAGAACTGCTGCAGCGGACCTGTCAGTCTGCCTTTGTTTGATGTTGTTCGTGCTTCCGTTTCAAAGCCGGCAGGTTCAGCGCGTTTTAGCCGAGGCTGAGCAGGCGCTCCCAGAAGTACTTATACAGGTTTGAAGTGCATGCGCAATGCTGGGCTGGCCAGCAATGAACCTTGCATCTTCGTTTGAGACTGTAGGCCGCTTCAAAGTACTCCTAGGCTGCATGTACGGCAGCTTGACATGCACGTCCTGCTGGTTCCGGCTATCCCTCCCTACTCAATTCTTTGACGTCCTCCCCTGTCGCAGAGCGCCCGTGCGATTGGCTCGGCAGCCCCGGGGCAGTCACTGCGGGCTTGCGGCCTTTGGGTGGAGCAGGAGCTGCTTCACCCCAAACCCTAATTGCTGCGCAGTGTTGAAACGCGGTGCAGCAGGCTGCACCTCGGTTTTCATTCGCCATACCTTTGAGGGCTTAAATAAGCTGTGACATTTGAGCGGAAGCAGTCGTGCGAGCCGAGCTAACTTGTCGTAAGTTGCAACACATGCATGATGGCGGTCAGGGGTGACCGTGTTGTTCATGGTCATTCGACGGTCCGGCTTTAGAACGGCGGTGGACCTGTCACTGCTCACTGTGCTCTTGCAAAAGATCCTTACCGGAAACACCTCATAACCAAATGTGCGCCCAATGTGACTGCAGCTCACGCCCAGGAGAAGCGACGGAAGGAGAAGCAAGGTGGGCTGATGTACCCTAACCACAGCTTTCGGGCGATGTAGCCAAATAAGTCATATATCACATGAATTAGTTACATGTATGTATGTATGTATATATATATATATGTATGTTTTTATGTGTAAAGACAAAAGATACAGCCCCAGGTCTACCATCAGATCGTGCGGTGCCTTCCGTGGATTGGGCCGAGGCCCCGAGTTTAATAAGATGCAGGCGACCATCGGAAGATGGCTCAGGGTGTGGGGGTTTAGGGTTTGGGGTTCGGGAATGGATGGGTTGAGGGTTTGTTTAGGGTTTGGGAAGCCATAGTACGCTTTTCTCCCTATAGTACCAGCCATACTTGTTAATCTTGCTACTGTATGATACTTTGATGACTATGGTGATGGTTCTGAAGCCAAACAGTCGGGAATATAGCAGCTGCGGGGATCCGGGCTTGGACAGGGCCAGGTTCCAGAAAATCTCCGTGTGAATCCAGGACGTAGGATTTGTTCCACAGGGTTTAGGGCCTCGCATGCATCTTCACTTGCTCGGAGTTCTGAGGACCGCAACATAAGGAGTTGTTTGGATCCAGGATGTGGGATTTTTTGCACAGGTGTGTAACTAGGGTCTAGGATGAGCATGTTTACTTACTCGAAGTTCTGAGGACAGTGACAAGGAGTTGTTTGGGTCATGTGGGCCTAGCCTTGTACCCATCCAGATCTCCGCATGCAACGGCTTGGCTGCGCGAGCTGGAGTGCACCTCAAACGCCTGCCATGTGTTCATGATATTGCATCTGCCACAAGAAGGGTGGAAGATGCGACACTTGCCTTCGCACTCTCGGTTTTCTGACTAGCTTGCAAACAAGAGGCACTTCTAAAAAGCCCCAGGCAAAACTCCCCAGCACCTGGAAGCTGCTTCTGCCTTCGTGGGACAGGAGCGCGCGCAGTACCTGGCCACGACTCGCGCCATGGAGGCCAAGTTTGCGCAGCTGACAAAGCTGAGAAGGCTGCTGCAGGCCGGGGAGGGGAGGGCAAAGAAGCTCCCACCCTGAGCTTCGTGTCGAAAGGCGTCGAAGACAGTCACGCAGTCCAAAACTAAACACACTTCGGCTGGCCCGAAGCTCCCCAAAGCTCTAGATGATTTTGGGGTCCCTCGCCCGTTCCTCCATCCGCCCAGGGTGTCAGCTTCCTTCAATAAGAAGACAAGAGTTCACAAGCCTAAACCCTATGAGCCCATTCCATGCATCCCCGGCGAGAAGCTCGTGTTCCCCGCTTTCGGACAATCCGTTCCAGAGGCCAAGTACACTGCTGCCCGACGAAAGATCCACGCTGGGCGTTACTGAGAGGGCGGCACCCAAAAAGACTTTGCTTCCTCTGCCAAGGAGTAGTGCTGACTGGATTGGGTTCCGATAAAGGTCCAGACCCAAGCTCTCTTATGTGAAGGTCAAGGCAGTTCAGGGGGTATTGCTGGCTCTGCGGGAGGTCAACCAGTTTATGGATACTTGTTGCCATTGCTTGCCATGCTTACATGCAAGGCGGCTGAAGCATAGCACGCCCGTTAGAACTAGGGCGGCAAAGTCGAGAGGCTGCGCCCGGTTGAGCAAACGTATCAGACGATGTGGGCTTCGCTCAAGCAGGGGTGGCATCGTACAACTCCAAATGTAGAGAGGTCCCATAGATCCCTCATGTTTCCTCTCCTCGCAAACATACCGCTTGAGCGAAGCCTTCACATTCCACTGCAAACTGACGAGGGCATGTCTCAGCGCAAGAGTTGGAGCCTTGGAAGTTGACCAGACTGGACAGCACAGGTACCTGTTTCAGGATTGGAACATGCCTTCGTGGCCAAGACGGTCACCCATACTGCGCCTGTCCATGCTGTCGCATCTGGGACAGTATGATCGACCCCTACAGGGTGAAGTGGGAAACACTGCAGAGCCCGTGCAACTCACCTTTCAGTCCCGACAGCAAGCTTGCCAGTCACAAGGCATGCTTTACTCCCAGCGCGGCTTTAATTCAAGGTCATGGGGAGTGAAGGGAGGAAGACGCCTCGGTTGATAGAAGAGGTTGCGGCATCCTGCCGGCTGTCAGGCATCATCCCCTTTCCTCCTCATGAATTAAATGCGTCTCTTGTAGGCTCTACAGATAGCATGGACTGGGCTGGTTGTGATGTCGGGTGGTGTTTAAAACTGCGCTGTACGCTTTGTTTGTTGTTCGTAGGCTTTCGGCCAGAGCCGCCCTGTATGGCCTCCAGATGCCATGTATCACTAGCACCGCACACGCGGAAAACGCCAAAGGCCACGTTGGTTGCATACCCTCCTGGAGTTTGACAGTGCATGCATGCTTTTTTCTGTGTGAGAATGGCTCGATATATGATTGGCGAGTATCGTGAGATAAACCAGTAGCTTTCAATAGCCCGGCTACGCAAGTCCGGGCCTAGCAAAGTCTTTAACGAAATGGCGGCTGTCTCAAAAATAGGAGTTAGGAACTAAAATTACCGTAATGCCGCAGCTGGCTCCTCTGGCTACAATCTGGCAGCTTTCGCTCATGATGACGTTACAGGCACGGTCTCTTATTGAGATAATTACAAATGGTCTAATGATTTGTCTTCGGACGCGCTAACTACAATGATGCATCTTATGGATCGCGCATTCGTCGTATAATCCCTTCACGCAGCTGATGAAGTTGCCGAAGGCCCACGTTGGAGCTGCGAAGCCACATGATAATGGTGCCTATAGAAGGGAATGAAAGATTTCATGCTGAACAAGTTTCATCCACTCATGCTTGCCCAGCATGAGAGGGGCTTGTCACGGCTTTTACGGCCCCTCTTTGGCTGCTCGAAGTGTCTGCTTTCGCTTTCCAGGAGTCGGTGCTTGGCTTCCAAGCGGCGTTGGAATCGTCGCTCGGTGAGGGAACCCAGGGGAGTCATCTTCTGGAAGCACCATACAGATCTGTGTAGGAAATGGCCTTCGGGACATAGTATTGCTGTGGTTGTGATGAATGGAGTTTCAGATACGGATTCTAGAGATCACTGTACACTGAGTGGCACCGGGCAGCAAGAGACTTTGATTGCTGCTCCTGCATTGAGCACTAAAGCCATCTGAATCCCAAAGCACAGTTGCCCGGCAACAGAGTTTGCAAGCTGCTACTTCTTGGCATGGGTGTCGTTTCCAGCATCTTATCCACATTCAACTTCAAAGCCAAACCAAAACAAAGATAACCTCAAGTCCCGGACATTCCCTCCGCTCTCTATTCAAACTTTCTAGTCGGAAGGTTCCTGTTCGATCAAGAAGTGCATCGCTACCACAGCGCTGTGAGCCTTTCAATTCAAACCCCAGCATCCTCCTAGCTTTGGATGCCCATAGGCCTGAAATCTAGAATAGGGGAGGCCCCGAGGCTGGCACTGGATCTTGCTATGCTAGCACCAATGTGCTAGAGTATCACTGTAGTATTTTTATATTAGTATTGAAAATTGTAGTATTATCATAGTTCTGTCATAGTTGTATTACAGTACTGTTATAGTAGTACTATAGTACTATCACGTAGTACTATTTTGGTACTAAGTGTAGGGCCAACTGTGCCCTCGTGACGACCTTCAACACTGCGACGAATGAAAGCTCAGCCGGCTTTTACTATTTTCGATAGAAGTGACAAAGAAAAAAAGAAGTGGGGTTCATGTATTCACTATAACACTACAGTATAACATTGCTATAGTAGCATTATAGTAGTGTTATAGTAATACTACGAGAATACGATATCATAGTATTGTAATAGTACTATAGTAGTACCCAGATACTTCTGTAGTCGTGCTATAACAATACATGGTACCGGGTACCGATTTGCGATGCAGGCTGAGTGCGAGCATGGCCGGGCGACGGGCTCAGACCTCTTTGCATAAGGTCTTGTTTTCGGCTCGGGCTACTCTTTTGCTGGACTCAAGAAGAGTTGCAGGATTGATTTCTGTTCTGCGGATGGCGTCAAAAAGGTACATCGGGCTGGACGTAACTAGAGTGGACACTGGAGGAAGGTGGTCGGGAGCTGGAAGCACGAACCTCCTCGGAATGGTACAACCCACTGCCACCGTGGTAATCACACATGTGACTCTCAGTGCTTTTGTCCTATGATTTGGGACCGGCAGGTAGACCGTATTCCCTAAACTCGCAACCCAGGATGTATACTACATGTACAAGTACATACACTCTGCTCATATACATATACTCATTGTAAGGTCAAGTTGGGACTTGTCCGGAGATACATTCGAACGAAGCGCATTGAAATAAGCCATAGCCACTGTGGCTCAGTGAGCTGCTTGTGCCAGCTCGGCATTGGCTTGGAAACAAGGAAGCACCACTTGCCTTTGACATGCCAGCGTCACCTGAGCACGTGGATACTAGCGAGGATGCCGCTGTGTCTGCCCTGTTTGCCGATGTGGCCACTGGTACTGAAGAAGGTGGAGGTAGCGAGGATGAGGGGAATCATGAGGACGAAACGGTCCCACACATGCTCTATGATCTCACGGAGGAGCAGCCGAATAGCGTCACCACCGCTGCTGCCGAAGGTCGTCGCCGGTGGCCAGCCTTCGCAGCCTACTACGAGGAGCAGGGGATTGCCAGCCCAGCTGCATTGGAGGCCGCACTCGCTGCAATGGCACGTCCAGGAGCGCCTTTTCAATGCAGGTTTGCGCAGTCACCGACAGCAGCAGCATCTCTGGCGCGGTTGCGCGCTGTACTACCGAGTTTGGCACCAGTGCCCTGGGCGCCGAATGCTTTCCGGGTGGTGCCTGGCCAACCTGGCCATTGCCATGCAAAGGCCGCGGCCCCCAAGGAAATCGGCCTTGAAGTGCTGAGGCTGATGAAAGAGGGCGACCTTTCCCTTCAGGATGTCAGCAGTATGTTGCCAGTCCTCGCGATGAAGCCTCTAGCACCAGATATGGCCTGCTTGGATATGTGTGCTGCCCCTGGCTCAAAAGCCATGCAGTTGCTTGATGCCCTTATTTCAGCTCCGGGGAGGGACCGAGGCGGATTTCTAGTCGCAAATGAGCGAAGCGAGAAACGTGCACGGAGACTGCTGTCGCGAGTGCGTTGGTCCCCGGCATTGGCGCGTGCCATCCTCGTCTGTTGCACAGATGCGGCGATCTTCCCCGCCTTGCGCATTGCAGGGCCGAGGGGTGCATTCCCAAAGCTGCGGTATGACCGTGTGATCTGCGATGTGCCTTGCTCTGGCGATGGCCAGCTGCGCAAGACACAGGATAGCTTCGAAGTGAGTCGGGGCTTGGCTCTGCACCCGCTGCAGCTCCGGATCCTCCGCCGTGGCTTACAGCTCCTGGCGCCAGGTGGTCAGCTTGTTTACAGCACATGCTCGCTGAATCCAATCGAAGACGAAGCTGTTGTTGCTGCAGCCTTGGTCGAAGCCGAAGATTGCAAGATTGTGCCATTGCCAGAGCGACTCCTCGAGGAGGATGTTGGATTGCACCCTGGCATTTCATTCTGGGTGGTACCTGGGTCGCCCACTCCCCAAGCAGAAGGGTATGCCGGGCATGCCAGCTCAACCGCATTCCGGCCTGGAGTTGACTTGCCCACCATGCGGCCGCCACCTGCCAGCTCGCCTGTGTCCCTGCAGTTGAAGCATTGTCGCCGTGCTTTGCCAACATACGCAGGTGGATCTGGCTTCTTTCTTTGTGTCATCGAGCGCAGACAGAAACCCATGCGGCCCATGCGCAAGCACGGAGTGGGAGAGGAGGGCGAGGAGGACAGTGCCGACGAGGAGAAGGACGAGGATGCAGCTCGGTTGGCATGGTTCGGCGATAAAAAGCCTAGGAAAATCTTTAAACCGATGTTTCCGGTAGCACCCTCCGACATGACAGAGGGTGTGTGCAAGTTGTTCGGCATCTCAGCCACAGATCTGCTGCAGCATGGCGTTGCTGACCAGCTCTGCATTCCGGGGTTCCGCAGGGATCGCAGGATGCTTCTTTCTGTAGCTCGCCGCCTCGGCGACATTCAGCGACATAGGCAGGCGAATGTCTTGGATGGCGGCTCGCCAGTGGCAACATGCATGCCCAAGGAGTCTTGGTGGCCACGGAAGCTCTCAGCATGGCGACCATGCCATGAGGAGGCCCAGCTGCTCGCGCGACTGGCCACTCGACGCGTCTTCCCCTGCACTTCCACGTTACTGGCGGCACGGACTGCGCCCAGCGATGAGGAGGAGGGTGGTGCCATTGTCTCATCTGGAGAAGTCGCTCTCGCTGCAGTCGTGGAGGGTGGGCTGATCAAGCTGTTGGCAACCGGAGACATGCTGCACAATTGCACTGCGAGACTCGAGGATGCAACAGTCGCACGGGATTGGGGTAAGCGCTTGTGCCTTGGGGCTGACAGTCTCGGAACCTGTTGCCGAGCATAGGCATGGACGTCGAACAGGATCGGGGTGTGCACTTTGGCTTTGACGAATTCGAAATTTCTCGCAGCACATTGATGCCAAACAGGATCGGGGTAGACGCTTGTGACGGCTTCGACAGCTGTCCTAGGGTCCTAGGGCATAGATGTCGAACAAGATCAGGGTAGGAGAACTGTCGCAACCAATTTCATGTCGAACAGGATCGGAATAAACGCTTGTGCTTGAGACATTCTCTAACTCTAAATCTCTCGCAGGACATAGACGTCGAACAGGAACAGGGTAAACGCTTGTGCTTTGTTGCTGACGGTCTCGAAATCTCTCGCAGCACATAGACGTCGAAGAGGATAATTAGGGGTAAAGGCTTGTCGGATGATGGCCCCGAATCCCTCGCAAGACATGGATGTCGAGCAGGACTGGGGTAAAATCATGCTAGATGCGAAGACTCTCGGCATGCAGGCGCAGACGTCGCTTGGACCGCGCCGCAGTACCCTGTGCTGCTGCTGCATTGGCAAGCCCTTGCTGTGCTGCTAGTGAGGAACCGGTGCCCGGTGTCCGAGTGATGTTCACCAGATCACAGCTCAGTCTGCAAGCATCTTATTTTCCTTTCCCAGGTGCGCGGCCTACAGCTGCACACAGGCCAGGGATGTCGGAGACAGCTTTGCGGACAAGGATACCTCAGTCTCGAGTGCAATGCCACCCCAAAAAAAAGCTTGCAGTTTCACAACACCCTGCTCGAAAGCGCTGATGTCTACCCCCTACCTGCAGAGCGTTGCCAAGAGGCCGATGTGGAAGCCGTGCTGATGCCGATTTGGTTCCAGAGGTTCATCGGCGTCGATGCCGTCGCCATCGAGAGGCTGACGGCCCAGGACGCGCCCAATGACATAACCACCCGGGTAAGTCACAAAGATGATCATGGGAAGTCGCAGCAGTAGTCCCAGCCAGAGTAAAAACAGAAGTCAGCATGATAACGGTCACGACGAGCTTATCTTCAAACGTCATCAGTCATGGGAGTCTGTGACGCCAACGATGACTGCCATCACCATCATCACGTTCATCCTCTCCTCATCTTCGTTGTGGAGATACTTATCATCATGGTCACGTATATGCATTGAGTACGCAACCGCACAAACCAGTCTCGACTTTCTTTCAAGTCAGCAATGCATCCCGGTGCTTCCCGCGTCATTGTCACCATCTTCACGGCAGCAGCAAGAGACTGCAGCCGTAGCAGCAGTGGCCGCCGCCGTCAGCGGCAACAGCAGCAGTAGCATCAGCGGTCCCACAAGCTGTATCTCTGGCTTGTGTCTTCGTGTGAGCCATTTCTTTTGTTCTCAAGGCAGCCTGTGTTTAGAGTCGGATCAGCAGAGCCTTGGTCGTGATCTGACCGGGCCCTGAGCCAAAGGAGCTCTCGCACTCGGCCGACTTCGCCATTCTGGCGACGGCCCCCTGGTGCTTTAAGTGGTCTCTTGATGGATACTGTCTCTGTCTGGCCTCAGGCTTGTAGGCAAAAGCCTGGCTGTTGGTGCTCCGATTTCCGCGGCTTGTTGGAGTGGTTTCCGAGACAAGGTGAAGGGTGTTTGTTTCCCGTGGCTCGTGGCGACAGTTGTAGTTGAGGGTGTTGATGGCCCATAACTATGGTAACTATGGTCACGGCGAGGACAATTAAGATGACGATGGTGCTGGTGGTGGCAGTGACGGTGCTCGTGTTTGCTATTAGTAGTACCATCTTCCTGGCTATGATGACTACGTACAGTTACAACTTATGGTTGCTCTTGGTTTAGCCCTTCTCACTTGCAGAGGAGGGAGGAGGAGATTGAGGACGACAAGACGACGGTTGCTGTCACTGCAGACCCGACTCACTCGAACCACTATCAGAAACACAGGGTGTTGTCATTGCTGCAGCTGGTGATGACGACCATGCTGGTGCAGCTGCTGTTCATGATGACGTTTATGTTGATATCAGTATGAGTGTACGATTGTAATGACGACTGATGTTGTCGTTGCGTTGTTGTTCGTTTGTTTGTTTGTTTGCTTGCTTGCTTGTTTGTCGTTGTTGTTGTCGTCGCTGGCTGCTTCTCCTCTTGCTTTTTGTTGGTGCCCTGAGCTGCCAACTACCATACGGCAGGCAACGGCAGCAGGGGAGGCTGCAAGCGGATTGCGAGACACCAAGACGAGATCTGTTTGTGTATGTTTGTCCTAATTGCGTCGGAGCAGAGCGACTCGGCGCTTCAGGCAGACTCTGCCGTCGCCGGTCCTTCGCATGGTCTGGATTTGAAGCCGGAGCCACTGCAACATCCCGGCTCGACCCTCAGAGGACAACTTAATGTTTCATGCATCCTTAGCAGGTCGGATATTGGCCCGTATTGGCACATTGCTGGTATGCCTGCTCTTGGAGGTATTTGCTTTGAAAGAAACCGCTCGGCAGAGTTGCAAGTCGTACCAGTATGTCGATTCCGCCAACCACTGCAGGAGCGGCCTCTGCGCCTGTTGAGAGATAGCGCTGTGGCCAAGTTCACAGTCATCCGACTAAGTGAGACTCCGTACTTGAACAGTGATCGGCTGTTGACCCTTCACGGCGCTTGGAACAAGGGGCTTGGCACTTGGGTTTCGATGTCGAACATGCGTTTCTGGTTGTGGAATCACGGAGGGTGCAACCGTTCCATGGGCGAATGGAGTTGGGTGGGAGGCGCGTTCTTGTACATATGAGCTCAGTTGGTCGGAGCTGCGAGATTTTAATGAAATATCGCCCGCTTCAGACGAAGCCCGTTGTTGCAAACAAAGCGAGGCAATTCCTAAAATCCTTGGAAGCAGCTTCGAGGATATTGTGCTCTCGCTCAGGACTCGGCGCACCATACGCACCACGTTCCAAAAGCTCCCTGAGTGCCAAGCTATTTTGCGGACTGGAGGAATCACTCATGCCGCGCATGCCGGCTGCCAGCACTCTGCAGAGCACAACCTCGTGTTCGTGACAGCTAGCCTTAGCAAGCTTTCGAACATTCAATCGATGGGTCTGGCTCAAGAGCTTTCGCAGCCTCCAATTGCCCGTGCTCCCTGCAGACCTTCGATTATCGCTTTACCTTGATTACCACAACGGGCAAGGTGGGAGAAAGGCGCACCCGAAGTGTCGTGCGCTTGCGTGGGTAGCTGCCATAAGTTGTAGGGCACGATTCTGGCAAAGCATCTTAGGGTCACGCGTCATCCAAGTCTCCGCACACTGATGCGATGTTGCTCATAGGCTTCGGCCGCATTCACAAATCATCTAGAGTTCTGCAAATCTCCACGATTGCGGTGTCACCCTTGCAGAGGTCATGCATGCGAACACAAAGGGTTGTTGTGCTCAAAGTTTATGTGGTCAAGATTCGGGGGTTATTGAAGCTTGCGCATCGACAACCATAGAAGGCGGGGAAGGTCACCACGTCGGCACAAGGCAGACTGACTAAGGGAAGTTCGAGGCTGTTAGGGCGTAGGGTTTTGGCCAGGCCAGAGCCCTTAATTGACCCTGCAATTTTCAACCCCGGATATCGTGTTGCTGGTCCGCATGCTCCGTGTGTCAGCACCATTTGAGTGGTCGGTTCTGTGCTGTTGTCCAGCTCTGCTGCTTGAGCCAGCATGAAATGCCGTTTCACAGCTGAAATCTTTGCGGTCCATGAGCAACCCACGGCCGCAGACCCAAGACGAATGGTTGGGGCCAAGAGTGGGCTTCGTCAGGGCCGAGTGGGCCGGGAACCCAGGCAGTGTCCACTTAGTCGTTTATGCATGCATAAACTGCATAAACACTCTGCTTCGAAGCCCCTGACTGTCGCACCAACACTCCGAACTTTCAACATCGACATGACACCCTTAGCCAGACATGTTCTGCCTACCGAAAGCAGCCCTTCCCTAACTTCCTGAGCTAGGCAAACCAGGCCCAGAACTTTTGCACTATCAAACCCAGCTGAAGCCCCTGAGCTCCGAGCCCTGAGGCGAAGCGCCAGGCGGGCGCTTCAGATTTCGGGTGTGAAGGTCACGTCGACTTGGAGTTCAGGTTGTAACTCTGAAGCACTGAACCTGAAATGCTTGGGCTTCAAAGCCTTGCAGTTGTACGAAATGATATGAAATTGAGGGTTCAGAGTTCTGAGTTTGGACAAAAGGCTTCCATGAGTCCTGCTGCACCATGCTGCACCGCAGGAAACGTGGCTTGGGCCGAGACTAGGCGGAGTCAGAGCCCATTATGCCGGGAACTCAGTGCTCAGCTTGACTACGGGATGACAGGCTTATTGTAGCTGATTCTGGTGCTGTTGCTGGTGAAAATGATGCGGACAAGAAACGACAAGAAGTATGACCAGCATGCTCACATCAACATCATTTGTCGCATCACCAGCAAGAATGATGGTCAAGTGCGGTACTGTATGTAGAACCCGCGCTCAAAGCCCATAGACAAATGTCCGAAACAGTGACCCGCACCCAGGCGCCTCCCAAGGCAGTTCGGCTGCAGAAAGAAGCGTCTACGTGTTAGGGGTTGCAGCTTCAGGTGAGTTTCTGGCCACACACAGCCCAGACCTATGTAACAGCTGATGCCGCGCTGCGCACTGGTTGTCGTCATGATCGTGTCGCCGGTGCCAGCGTGTCTTCCTCTCCGTTTGACCAAGCTTTCCTCGCACTCCTTTGTTTGCAAAGTACCTTCGTGCATGGACCTGTGTCTGCGTCTGCAGACATCGACATGTCCTATGGATGTTGACGCGCACGCTGTTGAACTTTGAAGATCGCTTGTCAGGCACGGAGGAGAAGCTTCGGGAAGCGCAGCAGTGCCAAGGCCTCAGCGATCATTTTGTCTGAACCCTGCCACCAACCCTAAACTGCCCTGGACCCCAAACTTTAACCCTGGCTTCCACAAACCTCGTCTTGGCGGTATTGGTTGTCCAGCTGTCGCCACTCCTCCAGTTACGAAGTGCTTGCTTGCTCGGAACTGCTTCAGTGAAGCTTGCATCGTCTGGAAGTAGCTCCTGTCCGCAGTCGCGGCAATACTTGGCCTGTCTGTTTGCACCTATCAGTGACAAAGGCTGGACGAGATGCTGGGCAGGAAGACGCCCCAGGCGTGATTGATGTTGCATGGGTCAATAGTTTCAGGGCAGGCTTTCGCTTGCCACACCTATTGAAGCAGAGCAGGCCATGACAGCCCAAGACATGCATCATGCATCCCGCACGTCCCTGGCACGCGAAGCCTTTGGAAAATTTAGGTTCCGCGTTGGGCGCAGGGCTGTGCGTTGGTTTGGCGGTTATAGCACAAGTGGTTGGGGGTTCGGGCTCTACTTTAGGGTTTTAAGGCTCGGGCCCAGGATGCTGCAGTGTTGAATCCAACGCCACAAGCTTGAGCCCGGCTTGTCCTTGAAAGTCAACCATTTCGACGGCAACCGGTGCCATATACCAAAGCCAACATCGGAGCTGAATGTACCACATGAGCAGGAACAGTACCTACTACCAACCCGATACATACCTTGCTACCATGATGACCTTCGGCTTGGGCCTCAGCGTATGTTTGACGCATGACGGGATCCCATGTCAATGTGCAGTAACCACAAAATTAAGCCTCTGATTAGTAAAATCCCTACTGGGGATCCTTGCATGGTTGTATGTTTTTGTCCTCAGACGCAGGGGCTGCGTATGAATCAGTGGTAAGCAGTACCTGCAGCAGAAAGGGGTTGTTTGCTAGTGTTTCTGAAGATGCTTGAAATTCTCCAAGACTCCTGATGTGCGGAGGTGAACCCATGACCCTAAGGGCCGTAAAGTGGTTAAGCTAGGCCAGGATCTGAATCCAATTTCCAAGGAGGCACCTAGAAAGACAAGCGGCTTGACAAGCGTTTTAGAACCATTCGGAACAGCGCATGTGGAAGTTCAGGGCTCTCGATGCACGTCCATACCACGTGGGATTCAGTTCCGCGCCAGGACGTGCCTTCTTCGCAACATGGTGCGGTGCGAACGAGTTCTGCGTCGTTGGGAAAAGACTGGCTCCAGTCATGTGTTTGTTGATGTCTGGTTTGCTCGGCGCACACGAAGCTCACATCGATCAGCATCCGAGAATCAAAGGAAACCCCTGTCGTAGAGCATGCGTGGTAAGCATGTGCGCAGTAGCACTGTCGTATCTGCGAGGCCGAACTCCACCGACACCGATAATAAAGCTTCAAACCGAAACGTTGTAAACCGTCCGTTTCAACTTTTGTGAAAAGCGCTGCATCAACGCCTGCACCGCAAGACCAAACACCATTACCAGCTTTCACGTCGCTCGCTTTGCATTTTTTCTCATCGACGGAAAAGGAAACGAGCTCATGGCCTTATTTTCGCTCCTGTCTTGAGGGCGTTCTGAACTGGAAGTTTGGTTGTGGCTTGGTGGTCTCCTGGTAGTTGCTGGCGGTCTCCCCGAAGGTTCGTGGCGCTCTATTTTGAATCGTGCGAATTTTTTTTGTATAATAAGAGGTTTAAGTATTTCTTACGTATGAGAATTAGAAGATAGAAATTTATGGAAAAATATTCAATGGGTAATTCAAGTTGAATTATCATAGATTATACTTGGCTTTGTTCTTATTATCTCGAGGTGATATAAGAAAATATGAGGTTTGAATATGTTATATTGGTCTTAGTTAATTTCTAGAAAAGGATTTAGTATATATATATATATATATACATACGACTATATGAATTACTAAATCTTGAGATTCTACAATATGTGAAATAATACAGGGATATTAATATATAGAGCGTATTGATTCTTATAGAGATTATAAATTATATTTTTGAATTAAGAGCGCGATCGATGTTAATTTAAATCATTGAATATTGATAATTCTATAAATTTCAAATTCTATATGAATGTTTCTATACGAAGAGAAAATATTTTTAATAATTTTCTATTTAGATTTATTCGTTTTCGTATTCCGCGCGTATTTATATTTTATTTCTCTCACTTAAATAAAATGAGGTATATTTAATTTCGGGAAATTATAGCATCTTGGTAAGTCTAGTAGTTGGAGGGCTCTCCGATATTTATTTCTATAATTAAGGATTGAATATTATTATTTAGGAATATTATGATTTAGAAGAAGATGAGATAATTCTTTATATTGAAAAATATAAAGATCGTATTTTTCTATTTGGTATTTATTTATTCTGCTCCTTTCGAAGCGCGGACATGGTGCATTATTATATATTTTTAATTTCTCTCTCCGCCCCCCCCCCCCCTTCGCTTAAAGTGGAGATTGCACAGGAAGAACGTGCTCGAATATGCTTGGACTAG